CTCTCCAAAAAAAAAAAAAAAAAGATGTTTAGGGCCAGCAGGTGGCATAGTGGTTAGGGTTCTGAACTCCTACATGGCCAACTGCAGTTCGAGCCCTGGACTTGGCAACTTACTTTCTCACTTTCCCTCTCTGTCTCTCTTTCTCCCTGTCTCATTCTGGTGAGCATACATGCCCTAGAGCAAATTAAATTAATAATCTTTTTTTTTTGTCTTTTTATTTATTTTTTTAGAGAGGTTTTTTTGCTATAGGGCACGTGCGCTCGCCAGACAGACAGAGAGAGACAGAGAGATAGAAAGTGAGAAATCACCCCCCAGGCGGGATGGCCACGCTGCAATCTCTTCTCCTCCATTCTTCTCTTGGGATCCTGGGCATGCACACACATGTGCTCAACATGAGTTTAAGCTGCCGGGTCTGGGACTCAAACCGTGGTCGACTACATGGTAGTCCAGCAACATAGCCATTATTTTAACTGCTGGTCCCAATAATAATCATTTTAAAAATACATGAATAATTCTTTTTTAAAACTTTAGCTCTTATGGCTTATAAATAACTTCTCAGAAAAACATGTATACAAAGAGGGGTTTACCTGGGACAGGACTGAGTGCATGAGATCATGACACCCTGGTGCTGGGGTTGGGGCACTGGTCTCAAAGCTGCCGCTGCTGCAGAACTGCTAATGCCTCCTATACCACAAATACCTGCTCTCCCCCCTTCTACAGTAGGAAATGCTCATGGGAGACACACGGTCATCCAGCTAGAGACTACATTTCCCAGCTTCCCTTGCAGCTAGGTGGTCAGGTGACTTGGTTCCAGCCAATAGGATGTGAGTGGAATTTTTTGTGCAAAACTTCCAAGTTATACCCAGATTAAAAGAACTAACTACATGCCTTTTTAGCCCCATGGCCTGGAATATAAACCTCGTGGAGATTTGTCATCTACCATGAGGATGAGGACAATATCCCGGGATGGCAGCCAGACAGAGACTCCCACGTCTCTGATACTGTTTATGTCGCACCAGCCCTGCCCACCTACTCAGATTGCTATAAGAAAGAAATAAACTTTTTTTTTTTTTAATTTCTAGAGGACACATGTGCTCCCCAGAGCAGAGACAGAAAGGGAGAGGAAGACAGCATCCCCCAGTGTGGCATGACTGTGCCACAATCCCTTCTCCTCCACTCCTCCATCCTGTTGAGATTTTGAGTACACACACACACACACACACACACACGCCCAATGTATTTTTTAAATTTAATTGTTTTTATTTATTTATTTTTAGAGAAATTTTTACTATAGGACACATGAACTCACTAGAGAGACAGAAAGAGAGAAATCACCCCCTGGGGAGATAGCCATGCCACAATCCCTTCTCCTCCATTCTCCTCTCAGGATTTTGGACATGCACGCACATGCACCGGGTATGAATTTTAAGCCACCCAGTCTGGGACTCGAACTGTGGTTGACTACACGGGAGTCTAGCGACATAACCATTATACCAACTGCTGGTCGTAGCCAGTATGTTTTTAAGTCACTAAATTCAAGATTCAAATGTGGTATCTGAGGTCCTTAACCACTAGGCTATGGGGCCAACTACCCAAAATAAACTATCTTAAGAGTAGTGAGAGGCCAGCTGGTTGCATGGTGGTTAGGGCACTAGGCTTGCACATAACCAACTGCGGTTTGAGTCCTGGACCTGACGGCTTGCTTTCTCACTTTCTCTCTTTTCTCCCTGTGTCTTTGTCTGGTAACTACAGCAAGTTAAAAATAATAACTATGGGGCCAGCAGATAGTGTGGTGGCTGGAGGCACTGGACTCCTACATGGCTGAATGTGGTTCGAGTCCTGGATCTGGCGGCTTGCTCTCTCATCTTCCCTCTCTCTCTCTTTGGTCAAATTAAAAAATAATGACACTAAGTGAAATGAAAATAACTACTTAAAAAATAATAATAAAATAAATAATTCTTTAAAAAATAGAGTAGTGAGTATTTGGAGACGTTCACAAATGTTATGGCTTTGTCTTTGTTAGGTCACATGGTGGGAC